AGGAGGACGTCCTCTCGCTGGAGAGCAAGATTGTCGTCTAATCCTTCCATTTGTAACTGGCTCGATGGATGAAGATCTAACATTTGGTGCTCCAGGTCTACCCCTTGTAGCTGAAATTGGCCTGTCAGATAGTGATGTCCGTAAATTGGGTGGAGCATCAAGGGAGAACCCTGGAATGTCTGAAGGCTTCCATGGTCTGGGCTTTACAGTTGGAGAACTAGCACGTGAGGCTCCAGGATTTCTTGCCGTAGTGGTAGCTGTGGTAGCTGATGACGGGGATTTAACAGGAGGAGCAGTAGCATTAGCTGTACTTGAAACTGAAGTAGGCCGCCGAGTTGGAGTTGCTGCCCTTGATGTGGACCTTGATCCAGGAACAGAGGCCCTGGTTGTGGGCGTTGAGGAGGCTCTGGTTGTTGGAATAGAGGACCTTGCACTAGACCTGGCAGTAGGTGTTGAAGATCTTGGAGGAACTGTGGATTTAGTAGAAGGCAAGGTGGCACGAGAAGTTGGGGTTGAAGACCTTGATGGCCGAGATGCGGTTGTGGTAGACATTGTTCTAGAGGTTACAGTGGATGTCATTGATTTTGATGCTGCAGTAGATGTGCGTCTAGATGCTGATGTCAAAGCAGATATTGCGCTTAATGTGGGTCGTCCTGTTGGAGTTGAAGGTCTTGATCCACCTGATGAAGATGGTCTTCGAAGTCCTGAAGTTGAAGTATTTAATCCATGAGTGGAAGCAGGCTGTCTAGATGCTAAAATGCTTCTACCAGAGGGCTCAGGCTGGGGATTTGCTAACTGCATCCACAATAACAAGTTGCACCGTAAAATCAGTCCATGGTTCCCAACAAACTCAAGTTAAGACTGCCTAGCCGGAGGTTCCAACATTCCATCTGAAATTCCTAATTTTACGTGGGAGAATTCGCAATTTGTTATTAAAGGTTGACTTGGGCTTACTATCCAACAACTATGCACTCTCTAGAATTTAGTACATCTGCAAAAGGTGGTGATATTTTTTAGAGATTGAGCAATGGTAATTCCACATGCTCACAAGGAACTTCTGTAAGAAAATGCAAATGAGTACAATCATATATTGCTCTCAGAAACTCGAGAGTAAAGACAATTGTGAAATATCAATAAAGATGATTTCATTGCCAATAGCATTTGACTAAATAATGGAGCCCCCACGTGTGTTTCACTGTTTTGAACTAAAAGGCCTGCAAGGTCCTTTCTACCTAATTATAGAAATTTCCCTTTTATTATGCTTCCTGCACATCTCTACATCCCCTCTACTGGATGGACGTGAAGCGAAATAATGTTCAAGTCATTACGATAACATTTCATGTAATTTAGTACATATCATATAAAAAAACTCATCGTAATTATAGAAAATGCATTACTTCAGCAAATCATGGGGTAAGAAAAGTTTAGTATTTTCTTACTCTAGATTTTAATGCAGTTGGACGAGCTTTAGCTGTTCCCAGCTGACTCATCATTGATTTTTCCGACTCCATCTCAAGTGAAGGAAAAAGAGGAGTACTGGGAGGTGTTAGAAGCCTGAAACACAAAAATATCACCTCAGAATAAAGAATTAAACATTAGATATAAGACATAAGCAGAAATTCTTTTGATACTGAATGATTGTATAAGTGTGACAAAAGATCATCCAATATCAAAGGTCTGGAGGAGCCTTTTCTCTTCTACTTTTGAGCCTTTTAGCAAGTGGGTTAATAACACCTACTCGTTTACTTGTTTGCATCAACATTTTGATGTATGGGATTCATTAGTTTGATTAGTTAAACTTCGAAATATAACTAAGAGCTTTATATACTGTATATTGTTGTCTAGTTATTCAAGATCTTTCAATGAACACTGATTATCGAATGCTCCTTCTGTCCCGAATAGTTTGGCATATTACCTCTGACGGAATGCAAGTACAGAGGAATAACTTAACTGCAAAGCTGTGACGTGCATGACTGGAGGCTGTGATGTAAATAGTAGGGCTTGATGCTTAAGATAGCAAGTTTATTTAATTGTCAGTTAGCTTGTTAGTTAGGTGTTAATATGCAGATGTTCGTTATTAGTGCACTTTGTAATAGCATAAGAATTGCTAATCTGAAGCAGTTAGATTTCTCTCCCACTAGCTGGGTTTTCCTTACTCTAACTTAGCTGAGCTCCTCCTTTAGGAACGCGAATCACCAACTAATGGTTCGAGACGGAAAGGCTCACCAATAGCACCCTCACTCCTCAATATATATAAAATTATAATTGCTTATCCACTTCTTTTTGCCCCCTCATTTTCAAAGTCTTTTGTTTTGTGTACTACACTACTATAAAGGGTGCTTTTGATATTGAGACATTATGTCTGCTCAAATATCAGTAGTCCTATCTACTGAAGATAATTAGAGCAAAACTGTGCATGTTGCAAAAGCTATCATCAAATGATCCAAAAGGGGAACAATAAAAACTGAAGTTTTGAACAGGAAGACATAATGTCGGCAGGGGCGGAGCTAGAGTGCCGGGAGTGGATGCCAAACCCAGTAGCTTTGGTTCGAACACTATATTTATCTTTAAAAATCCATTGAATATGTATAAATTATTAATTTAGAACCCAGTAACTAAAAAGGATTACAATCCTGAAATGTCGGTGACATGATGCAGACATTTCACTGGATAGAGGAACTTATGACAATATACCGAACCAGCTAAAAATAATAATTAGGCGAATACGCAGAGTCGCTCAGCGGATGCTCGAGCAGCACGAAAAAACTAAAGAAATTACCATTCATAGTCATTTTTATCATTCTCAGCATTGAGGAAATCATCAGCACCATTCTTCCTAACAGTTGTGGCTGATCCAATGTTAAATAAAGGTGAACCGCCTGCATTTGATCCTATAAGAAATAAAGTATTGCGAAAAGTTATGAGCTTAGCTTATGAAGTAATGTTTAATAGAAAGCCCAAATTCACTACAAGTTTTACATACTATTGTATTGTTTTGCTTCTATAGTACCCAAATATATAACATTCTTTAATAAACATAAACCATCATATTACAACAAAGAAAAGGCAAAACCATAATGAAATTCAACCATAATCTCAAACAGATACTAATATTGTTCCATTTTATATGACAATCTTTCCTTCTTTAGCATGTTCCAGAAATAAAAACATATTTTTATATTTGAAAATAATTTAACTTTAAAATTTTCCATTTTACCTTAATGATATATTTTATAACCAGGCAAATATTTATATCATAAACCACAAGTTTTAAAAGTCTCTATTTCTTAAACTCGTGCTCAGTCAAATATCATCACATAAATTGAGATAAATGAAATAATAAAAAGGAAAACTGAATTATTATTTTTCTCACCAAGCTGAGCATCAAATTCGTCGCCGTTTTGAAAAAGAAGAAGATCATTTCTATCCTTTTCCCTTCTACGCATTTCGAGAAACAAAGCTAACTCCTCTTCCTTCTCCTTCATTACTGAATTCCTAAAACTTCCCATTTGCTGTTGTAACTGCCTCATTGCCGATTCCTCTGCCCTAAAACTTCCATTCATTGCCAAAATAAATTACAAAAAAAAAAAAAAAATTACAAAACAAAATCTGCTCTGTTTTGTACAGACAGCTTAATGGAGAAAAAAATGTGAGCTGAAAATTGGAGAGAGAAAATCAAAGGGGATGAACTGAAGATGATCGAAGAGAGGAAATTTGAGTGGCAAGGAATGTTATTTAGGGGAAGAATGAGGGATAAAAAGGGAATAATAAAATAATTGAGAGGGGAAGTCATGAGTGTGGGGCATGTTAAATGCAACTAACATAGCTGATGCTTTCTTCACTTGAAGGGTACGTTATCAGAATTCCAATGGTAGCTCTTACACTAATTTGTAATTACAAAAATAGCCCCACTTCTTACGATTGTGGTTAATTTTGATTTATATTTTTGACATTTCATCTTGTCCTTTTGTGAGGGAAAAAGACGTTATGGTGGTTAGTTGTCTTTATAAAAGTCTTAATTTTGCATTTTAGATGGTGGAAAACTGGATATTCTAACCAGGGAAAAAAAAAAGGAAATTCACAATACTTATAAAACTGCTATAGCAACAACAAATATAGAGCCTTAAATCCACCTTTATATATATTTTTACTAATATTATATATTTTTTACTAATATTATGTATTTTACCTAATATAAAATAGTTTTCTGGTGTAGTTGGTTGTTGTTTACCTAATGTTAATATTTTTTATATATTTTATGTTACTTTTTTATAAAATATTTAATAATTTACGTGTTACATATGTTGGGAATTTTTTAACATTGTTTTTTACTTTTTAAATTACTTTTCTTATTTTTTATTATATATATATATATATATATATATATATATATATAATAATAATTATTTTTCAAAAGATTATTTACTGTAAATTTAAATTCTTTATAAATAGTAATATCATAACAAAATTAATTTTTCTAATATTAGAAATTATTTCCTTACATTTTCTTTTGATATATAAATCTCTAATACGATGAAAGATTCCTATCAAACATTACCAAAACTGATATGATTAAAATTTAATGCCGACTAATATTAAAAAATGTATAAGCAGTAGTATTTTTATTGGGCAGATTTACATGATACTCTGTTTTTATTTGAGTTAATACCCTAAAATTCCCTTAAACTGTCAAATTTTTGTCAGTTTAAGGAGGTTTTAGGGTATTAATTCTTTTTATTTTGAAATATTTGGAAATCTTATCTAACTTTTCCCTGGAACTATATATGGTCAAATTGGGTATTTTGAAGCGTACAGCATACGTATAATACCATAGTAAAGTAGTTGGGTAAGTACCTAATCAATTTAAAAATTCCTTAAGCATTATCCACTCCATGCCTCTATTTTATTTTTCAGTTTTGTTGTAGAATATAAGTTAACCTAAGTTTTGGGTAATTTAAGTTGAGCTTCACAACTACAGTCAAACCTCTTTATAACAGCCTCGTTTGTTCCGAATATTTTTGAATGTTATAGTGAAGTGTTGTAACATAACATGAAATTGGTTCCGAAAAATCATGACTTTTATAGTGAAGTGTTGTTATATAGGGATGATGTTATAGAGAGGTCTGACCGTACATATTGATCTCATATGTGGTCATCACATCAAACGAGTAATAGTCTGTCTGGCCAAGCTTCTAATCAGCTTATTTTGAGAAGTGTTTTTTCTTAAAGTGTTTTTCTCAAAAGTACTTTCGATGAGAAATAATTTGTGTTTGGTTAATTAATTTCAAAAGCACTTCTGAGCAGCAATTAGCGTTTCGTCAAGCTTCTAAAAAGTGCTTCTAATTGTATTTTTCTCGAAAGTGTTTTTCATAAAAGTGTTTTAGGGGAGAATTTACTTATTCTGCTTCTTCTCAAAAGCACCTTTTTTCCTTTCAAGAGTTTGGCCAAACGCTTCAACTTTGAAAAAAAAACACTAGATTTAAAGAAGCTTGGCCAAACGGGCTAAAAAATAATGGAGAAAAGTTCAAGAATGGATTTTCACCTGATTCGATCGAATCCGCACCAAAATAAACAGTTCATTACTAAGCGGAGTCGGTTGTTGTACACATTCAATGAATTTTTTTTTTTTTTTATAAAGTCTTATCATATTTCCTATAACTGAGAGAACAGACCCGTCTCTTTCTTCTCTGCTGAATCAAAAAGGCAACAGTTGGAATTTGGAGGAGATAAGTGACAAAAAAATAAAGTACTACACTTGGCTTCGCCCGGACTCGAACCGGAGACCTTCAGTGTGTTAGACTGACGTGATAACCAACTACACCACGAAACCATTTGATGACAATATTATGCTCAGTAAACTATTTAAGGATGTTTCAGCTGACTTTACTAACAATAATAGCGACATCTAAATTTAAAAATATTATAAATTAGATGCAGAATCTCATTTTTCACTTTAATACTACGAGCATCACTTCATTACTTTGAATTTGTCTTATATTTTCATAATCATTTTGTCATACATTATTTCCCAACAACCGGAATAATTAGCAAAATGTTGATCCTGACCAATCAGCATTTTTTACGAGTGAATTATCATGTTAAGTTAAAAAAATGGAAAGAGGTGTAATACCTTTGTAATTATCCTATCAAAGGACAATTAATGAACAGATCACAGATGCTTTGTGTGTGACTGTGTGTTTCTTAAATAATTAATTTTACTTTGTCCCCGGGGTGGGTGGTGGGGGGTGTGGGGATTTTGGAAGCTTATCATTTTGGAGGTATTTAGACTAATATATACTAGATCTTTTTTGTCACATTCATCGGCTTTAATGATTTATTTTGGACATATTCACTTTGGACTTATTACACATTATTAGATATGAGCTAATTCAATTTAATCACTAAATTTAATCCAGAGCTTTGTCTCTTCACATAACTCATAATGTTCAATCTTTTTAATCCAAAAGATAAACAGATCACTATATGATAATATTGTTTTCTTTAGTTTGAAAGTGTTAACCGTATAATTCAGTTGGCAAACCTACAGTAGTTCTTGCTGCTATATATGTTCGATCATACTAATTAATTACTACGTAATAATAATGCTAAGTTAAATAGTGAATAACATAATCAATATTACTATTATGTATATCATGAAAGTAAGTGTTATAAATGGGTATATAATGAAACTTCCCTTCTGTGAACTTATGGACATAAATGGCAGATCGCTTTGATTGATGGACTGGAAGGCGAAACAAGTTCGGCCGCCTAATTGGATATGCACATTTTCGTAACTACAACTTGTAAGCACGTGATTTTTGCTCCACGAACAATCACTCCAAAAGAAATCAAAAAAAATAATAAATGGCATCGCGGTACAATTTTCACGTGACATGTGCTGGTAGTCATTTGTGTTTCTGTCCATTTTTCATTGAATCTTATCGAACAAAATACAAAATATGTATGCCATGTGTAATTAAGCCATAATTCGGTCATTAAAAGAAAATTCACAAAAAATATGCATCTTTTATTCTAGGCTGTGATTTAACCATTTAAAGAATTTTTAATATGTGTGTGATAATTGTGTTAAGTGTTGATTAATGTGTGTTTTAAATTCATTTTAATTTAGTTGTATTTTAAAGTTAGAAAACAAAGGAAAAGAGTGCAAATTATTTAGAAAATCGGATTGGGCCTATTTGTTTCAAAAATTTTGAGGCCCAGAAGCAGCCCAAGACCCATCCTCAGGCCACCAAAACGACGTAGTTCAACCCCAAAACTACGCCGTTTCAGAGACGGTTCATCTCAGCCGTTCCAACCAGTCCAATCCAACGGCCAGGATCATACCCCAGATCCGTGTAACATGACCCGGTCCATCCCCCTTACCCGGTCAACCCAACCCCTCACTTAAACCAAAACGACCCCGTTCCCATACCAAACGACCCCGTCCTGTCACTCACCAGTAGATCCAAGCCGTTGAGATCACTTGATCTAACGGCCCTGATCTATCTTCCCCTTCCGTATATAAACCCTCCATCACACCCCACGCCCCCCCTATCCAAACACCCCCCGGTTCCATCGTCCCCAAGAGCCCAACCCTAATGTCCTAAACCCTAGCCGCCACCCTTCACCTTCACTGTAAAGCTGGCAGAAAGGATGTCGTTGACTGCCAAAACAACACCTCCGATACATCCAACCACCCTGAACACGAATCCACCAACCATGTACCTCGAATCACACTCCTTCATCTCGAATCTTGATTTGAAGATTCGAGGCCAAACCCCAATCTACACCAAGCCAACCCAAATTCACACTGGACAACCCCCTGACCTCCCTCGTGACCAAACCAAGCTTGGTTTGGTCCGAATCTACCCACAAATCTTAAAATCCCAAATCTGAAGATTCAAACTCTGGAATACAAGAACCTGGGGAATCCGGTCAGTTTCATGGGGATTTTGGGACATAATAGGCTTTAATCAAGGTGTTCTCGGTCGAGAACACCCCGATTAAGGTTTGTTCGGCCTCAAATGGTCAAAACTGGTTCAGGTCTGGTCCGTTCTTGGTTAAGCTCCCACAGTAAGTTTTCCTTTTTCTTTTCTGTTTTATTTGAGTACTGGTTAAGTTTGTTAGCATGTTCTGTTGTGATTATCTAGTATTTCTGGTATTTTCGTTCCAATTTCTTCCGTCTTTGTAAGGCCTTTTATTTGGTCGATTGTTTTCTGTGCATGTTTGAATATATTCTGTGATATATATGTTCGATTAGATTAGTCGTCGCATAAATAATTCATATGACCTCCCAGTATTGTGCAATGTTGTCTGAAGTTATTCAGGACCCCGTACGTATTGTTTATTTAATCGACTAATTATGCCTTGTTATAATTAGTGTGGTCGACTTGATAAACGTCGTCGATTAGTTTCCTATAACTGAAGGTTCAAATATTCTAATTCATACAACTTCACATGAGTGAACGAACCTGCTGTTGTTAATTGATTGCTTGACATTGTTTGAAAGTAGTTTGTAACTGCATTATAAACCACTAAAAGACTCACGCTAGGGCAGTTTTGAATTTGAACTTTCAGAAGTTCAAAATGCCCTGATGCTGCAATGGTTTAGGACAGTAATAATCAGGGTTTAACAAGGGTAATTTGGGTGTAAAAAAGAACAGAAATGATTAGTTTAAATGAGCTGACAAATAGGGTACTGGATTAGGATTAAAATAATGTAATAGTGGGGAGCCAAACTTGTTAGCATGGGGCTGATTGAATAAAAAAAGGGGTGCCCATGTTTTTTGGCAGAAAATACAGGCTAAAGGCCTGTCGAATGGATGGGCATGGGG